CAAACCTCACTTGGCTGCCATGCGCTCGAGTGTGGAAAGTGTTAACAACGCCAACGGACCCCAGTTCCCAACAATACATACACTTGCACTCGTGCCTTATCCACAGATAGCAAATACATACAGAATAATGAATGCGAGTATTCCATATTCAGTTATACACTACGGCACACACTGACCACACAAACGCACTATGTGTACACGTGCAAAGGCTGCTATGAGTGCTTGTGGGGGGGGTGTCCACAACTCAGACACACCTCGGCTCACAGCAAGTATATAATGCCATATATGCGGCTATCGACTCATATACTTCTCACTCGACGTATATCACACACAGATATCAAACGCATGCGCTTTGCTTACACATGCGAGGCTGCTATGAGTGTGGGGTTGGGAGGTGTGAACGGCACAGACGCACCTCAGCTGAAGAGTGGGCACTCCATCGACGGGCACGATACGATGATGAATGCCTCGGGTATTGTCTACGTTCACCCAGAGTCCTGTCTCAGCAGTAGCTTGCCGGATCTGGTGGTCTTTACAGGTGTGTGATGTATTGTGCGGATGTGTGTTTCTGTGTAGTATGCGCCTGTACTGGTGTGTATGTCATACCAAGGGCTATGTGTCTGAGTGCATGAGCGTGTTTATATTATTCTTTGCGTGTGTTCTCTCGCACACACACCAGTTACATACACGTGCTAGTCTCACTACAGAGAAGCGGCTAGTATGGTAGATACACCCAGAGCTCATGTCTGGGCGGAGACGTATCCGACTACATCGGGTCTGCAGCACATGATAAGGACTTGAACGGAATATTGCACGCCTATAATTCTCATACATTAGTACATACGCCTATAATTCCCATACATTAGTACATACGCCTATAATTCCCATTCATTAGTACATACGCCTATAATTCCCATACATTAGTACATACGCTACCATCTTCGAATGTCCCGCATTGACATGGAGGTAGAGTCGACCATGGGCAGCTACAACACCTACACCGCTGCACGCTAACCACATACGAAACCATATTACCCATACCCATACCATACCCATACCACGTGCGGCAGAACTGATGGCGGGATCTAGCAAGCACAGCAAGCTCTTTATGAAGGGGGTCACTAGTGTCAAGCCTGAGTGGCTGCCGGTTATGGTGCCGCATATGTGTTCGTTCTCAAAGCCCTTGGAACAGCCCGCGCCTCGATACGATGCGAAGACCGACCAAGTAAAGTGTCACATGAGCTCGGCGTTTGGCAAGGTGCGTGGAGTGTTAATAAGTATGTACTTGTATGCTTGTTATATATAAGTATATAGATACATATATATATATATATATATATATATATATGTCTGTATGTATGTATGTATATATATATATACGCGGGCGTGCGTGTGTGTGT